AGAATCTAATAAAAAATAACAAGAAAAATCATTTGGAAAGTTGGGAAAAATTAAGAGGCAGTAGGAGGAAGCACACGCACCCAAATACGCTTCCTACACCCAATTCACTAACTAACTATATACCCAATAACTGCTTTAACTGAGTTACTCTCATTTCATTTACTACCTTCAGTATTAATTATAAGACTTTGTAGTCTACAAACAAAGTCTTATAATTAGAACTGGAGGTAGTATTATGCAACTGAAACTTTATTTATTGAAGCAGTGAAGACACATATTAGAAAGAGTGGTGATCCCTCCCCTCCCCTCCTGTAAAATATATGCAATTTATTAACGATCGTGAACACTTGGGAGAACACCGTTTTATTCTACTTCAGATTGCACAAATGAGTTCACACTATCTCCAGAGATTGACTTGATTTTGAGACGTCAAAGTATCGTCTTATACCTGAGATTACCCGAGGAAGATATTGCACGATCCTTGAGAACCACATGATTGCGGCTTTCACTATAAAGAAACCCCATATGGCTAATGCGATTTTGCCCAACAATGGAGATAAGATCATAAGAAGCAGCACAGCGACCAGAAATCCGAACAGTGGACCAAAGGTTTTAATGACGGTGGGAACGCAAGACTCTTCACCTGGAAGGGCATATTCTGCAATGAAACTCAGAGCATAGAGGCAAAGGTTCACAAAAATGGCTGCCATAATGGTTGCATGCTCATCCAATGGAGATTTCCGTTTGGATTGGTATTCAACTTGAACGTAACCACTGAACGTACTAATCAGAAACATAATGACAGCGTGGAGTTTCTTCCTGTAGGAACTGCAACAATGCAAGAACATCAAATCGGATTTTATATATATATATATATATATAGCTTCGCATTCTAGAAAGTTTTGATTAAATCATACATAACTTGTAATAATTTTGAACGTACGAATCCAAAAAACTAAACCATAAAAGTTGCAAGGGACAAGGGAGGGGTTGGACGAGGATGCTCGCAGATCAGAACCAGCTTTCCACAGCACCAGATAATATAGGCATCATTGTGTTTCGCTTCTCACTAGCTAAGAGCACAAAAAAAGGTATTAAAGGATAATTGTTTTAGGTTTAGGGCAAGTTCGTTGGATTCGTATAGTCTAGTATGAATCGGTCTAATATAGTAGAATCTTAAAGCAAGTGAGAAATGTTATCTAACCTTCCCTTTGAGCTTTGATGAGTCTCGAACACGTCATGAGGGACTGGTGAACTAGAACATATGATGATAAAGTTGTTCTGTGGGTGGTAGGCACGGCGGGGTCTAAAGTAGGGTCCACCACCACCAGGATGAGAAAGTTGCTCAGCGTGAGCTTCCATGAAAGGGCGATAGGAGATCTATGTGTATCAAACCCTGCATGGGGTTGCAGGGAAAGACGATATGTGGGAAGTTTTTGCATGAAGGGATCCAACTTTATTTATAGTAGAGCCGTCATTATCATGCTTGGGTGCCCTATGGTCAAGTGAGCAAAAAAATTCAAAATGAACCTCTCAACACGCCGATCAATCAGGTTTTGATGATATAATAATATAATTTCTTCTTATAGAAGGCTACATCCATATCCGTGAGATCAATGCAACGATGGAGTTGAAACTTGATGGAAACTACTTGAGCGCTTTTTCCCCAAATTTTCTTTTGCATATCATGTAGACATGGATGTTGATATGTAAGTTTTTTTCCATTATTTTTTATTAATCACCGTAAAAGTGGGCAAACTTTTGAGTCACTTGACAGATATATATGTAATATATAGTCATCTTCAGATTAATTTCTTGATGCTTCTCTCTCTCTGTGTCCCATTATTTGGGTTGAAGTCACTATATAATTATTATCGATGCTACAAATTCTTAGAACCCTGATTAGCTTTTCCCTTCCAGCCGTAACAGTTCCCACCATGGACAAGCAGTCTCTTTCACAGCCATGGACGTATCCACTTGTATAGTTGTACGGAAATTTTGGTTGCTTAAACACAATATATGTATATGCCAATATCTGTTTGTACATAAAAAGTTACATATTTAGAGTTAGGTTTGACGATACTAATGGTCTCTCTTTCTTCCTATGAACATCTTCAAAAATGGGATGTGAAATTTTATGCAATTATTTGGCATCTAATATTTGGAGCGATCAAATATAGCTTCAGGTTTGCATGTTAATAAAACCTCTGCTGCACTAAAGAGTTTTAACTAAAAAGATAGAAATGGTAATAAGTGCATGTACGGGGATACACGATGGAATAACAGAGATCTATGACAACGTTGGAACTAAAACTACTCTCATATTGTTTTGACTAGAACCAACGTATTTTAAACGAAAATATGTAATCATTATCCTGTTATATGTGAATTTCTTATATTGTGAATATCGTATTCATTTTCCACACTGTTTTTTGAACTTTTTCTATAAATTATTGCTTAGATGACAAGAAACCTGACCCTAGCCTTATCACCTATCACGTCTCACCCAAAATATCATCACTGTGCTTAGAAGGGTGCTTGATGTTGTGTGTTGTTTTGATTGGCTATCTTGTATATGAACATTTTTTTTTGTTGCCAAATTTATATATTTAGTTGTTTACTATTGAATAATTCTTAATACAAGCTACTAATTAATTTCCTTAATCTTCTTATATAATACTCCTCCGGTCCTAATTATAAGACCCAATTGACTTATTTGAGGAGATTAAGGAAGTAAGTTAAGTTGGTTATTTATAATAAATAAGTGTTGTCATTCCTAAAATATCCTTGCTAATTAAGTATATTGGCTAAAACTATAATTATTAGAAGGATTATCTTGGAAAAAAATGCATAAATATAAGAGACAAGATGGATTGGGGTCTTATAATTAGGACCAAATAAAAAGTCAAATGGGGTCTTATAATAAGGACCGGAGGAGTAGTAGTTTTGTCGGATAAAATAAAATAAAGTATTTGTCAACAATAATTATACATTCAAGGACGTTCGGCTGTGTGTCTCAAGGATGGTTGTCAATGTACGAGAGCATGTAGCTAAAGCTGAGATTATTTGCAAAAGTGGAAAAGACTTCAAAGATGTCAAAGGTAGGGAAAAAGATGGCAAGATCTATAGTTCTAAAGTGGTGATTTCGCAAAAATATTTTGCAAGAGTTGTTTATGAGCAAGAAACAAGGGATATGCGATTTTGGCTAATAATGGAGAAAGGAACTTTCTGATTTGCCTCACTCCTTTTCTTGGATGATCGACAGATATGAATCAAGATCACCATCCATTGTTGTGGCCATGGAGGTTAATGAAGGACCTAAGAGTTTTATGGTTCTCTATTCTTACAATTTGCATATATCAAGAGTTGGTGGAACTCAAGATTGATGGAGAATGAGGTAAATCTAAACAGGAAGTGAGGTCTGGATCCTTCTTACTCATCTTTTCTAACCCTGCATACAATAATTATTGTTTCATTAATAAGTACAGTACACAGTTCATCAACATCTATTGCATGCAACTCCATTTGTTAAATGACCTCCACATGTCTAAATACATTGACTATTATTGAAAATTTCTTTACTTGTTATAAGATGACACATGGTATTGTTCCAGTTAGGTTGTAAATGCAATTATTCATCATGTAAATTGCCTAGAATAAATTGTCAGTGCACTAAAGATGAAGTTGCCACAATCAACCTGTTAATGCACTACTTCTTCTGGCAAATTGCCTAACTTTAGTTGTTACACCACTGAATATCAATTAACCACTTTCAACTTGTAGATGCACTAGTTTTTCTGGCAAATTGCCTAACTTCAACTGTTATACCACTAACCACAAACAATCACAGACAAAAAGTTCTTCTCTCAAGTCCAAACCTTGTCCCAAACATAACGTTCCCCTTCACAATTTCGTTCAACCACCACTCATCAAAAAAATTCAAATGCAGACAAACGCACAACCCACCGTTATCAAATGCAAAAAACAGAGCACACACCACAATAATAGACCTAGAAAATCAATATTTTTTCCTCAATCTACTAGCAAAATAATAGATGATTCAATCGCATTCACAAAGCTTCATTCGCCTGTCTCACTTACAAATAAACCCAATCACACAAAAACAAAATTCAAGATACATAAGGAGGCTTACCTTCACTGAACTTCAATCTTTTATTTGCCTGAAGTCTCTTCTACTTTTTGTTCATCCTATCTCGATCGCCTTCCAATCAATATTTGCTTCTCCTTCTTCTTCTTGTTGTTCTACGAACTATCATGCACCAAAGAGCCGACTTTCCAAGTTTCCTCCTTTATCCACGGCAATGGCCATACTAGAACCATGGCCAGGGTGATGACAACAGTCTCCTTTAGTGGTTGAATTTGTTTGACAGTTTTCAGAGACACAGAACTGCAACTGTGACGAGAAGGAAGAGGGAAAGTGACTAATATGAGAGAGGAAAAGGTCGGATCGTGTTTTCATATTTTTTTAATCATCTCATTTCCAAATTTTAGGCAACAATTTTGCCGAGCATTTCAGTAAAATGACTTCAGCAATCAATTTCAGTTTGCTCCCTGGGTCCTTTAGTGAAATTTCAGAATCTTTAACTGAAATTTCAGAATTTTTTAGGAACTGTATGAAATTAATTCCCATCTGCAGTCCTAAATTGAAATTTTCCTTTTTTTGTTTCCTATCCTGATATCTTGGAGGAAAAAAGGGGAAAATCCATCTTCATATGATTTTTCTTCGTTGATTTTGGCTCGTAATTGTTGGCCGTGGGCGTCGGAATATATTTTAGGGACTATGATGAAGTGTTAAACATACTGTTCAGGCGCAAAAAAAAAAAAAAAAAGGTTAAACATGCTGGCATATTATTATTGTCAGCCTCACGCCTCCTAAACGGTGCCGTTTCTATGGCGAGATTTGCAGGACCCGTTCGTAGAGGTAGGAGGAACAACTTGTGATACGAGTGGGCGGCCGGTTTCATAGCTCCAGGATAGAGCTTCTTACTTGGACCCACTCAAGAAAAATCTCGCTCGGATTAAAAAAGTATACTACCTGCAAAATCAGAATGAGATAGCTCAGCTGTTCAGCTAGCTCAGTTTCATATCTTCTTGGTATTGCTCAGGCGGAAAGGAGAACGTGTAGTATACTTTTTTAAGCCAACGCTTAGTATGTGTAGCGTGGTTTCCAAATCGCACTGGGGGAAACTTCCTTTACTACCTACCAACAAAAGGTGAAATTCTAGTCCGTGCCTTCAATTCTTCATTCTTTTACACATAAACTTCTCCCCCCCCCCCCCGGGGTTTTGTTGAAATTTTCGATTTTTTTCCTCTGTCTGACTAGGAAAGTTCCACAATAATGTTTGTGTTGGTTTATCAACGGGTTTCGCATAAACACCTTTTGCGTTCATAAGAATGCATATCTTTGTTTATTGTATGTTGTAATTAAATTGTTCTCTATCTCATGCATATCTTCATAAGAATACCTTTTGGGTTCTATACTTCTATTATATCATACGCTAACCGTTGTACTGTACATATATTTTGCAGTAAATCAGACAATGGAATTGCCCGGGTTAAAATAAGTGGGAGAACGCTAGTAGTCTCTATGGGTATGTTAGCACCAAGAAAGTTCTTGCAGAAAAGAAAGAAAATGGAATTTTTCAAGGATGCGGCTGAGGAAGCAGATAAGAAGAACTGGTGGAGATTGATGAAAGAAATTGATGAGACTGGTTCTGCTGTTTCAGTGCTGAGGAGTGAAAGGACAAAAAGCCAGAATATTCCTAGGGACCTTGTCGTTGGTACTTTAATTAGATATAAGCAGTTGAAGAGATGGAACCATGTCTGCGAGGTAAGCGAGGGACATTTTGTCACTTGAATTTAAGAAAGCAATTACGTTCCGGTTAAGAATTTGATTACGTCTTTTATTTGTGATATGGCACTATTCTGCTTTCTGTCATCTGAATGCAGAGGCATTATGGTTTTGCGGTGGAGCACAAGTAGTAACTTGTTATATAATTTAGTTCTGATTGCTGAACTTAATGTGATTATATTCTGGCTTTATTACCATTTTTTATCAATATTTGCAGTGCATTCTGATTGGCTGGTACATGCATGTTTCTATTTGCTTTAGATTCTTGAATGGCTCCTAACTCAAACTTGGTGGGACTTTGGAGAGATGGATTTCCTAATGCTTATAACGGCTTATGGAAAGCTAGGGGACTTCAATGGTGCCGAGAGAATCTTGTGTTTGATGAATAAAAAGGGTTTTGCGCCAAATGTGATATCTCAAACTGCTCTTATGGAAGCATATGGCAGAGGAGGCCAGTACAATAATGCTGAAGCAATATTTCGTCGGATGCAGCATTCAGGCCCTGAACCTTCTGCTTTGTCTTATCAGATAATACTCAAAACATTTGTTGAGGTAAATATGCGTACGTATTCCCCCTGTAATAAATTTAAGTGGAAGCAAAGTGTCAAGATTGCTTGCTTTTATAACTTTTACCTTTTCCCTTGATAACGGATATGGAATATGACCTCATTCTTTTTCAAGGAATGTTTTGGCATATTTTCTTAAGCCATAAGGATGCGAGAGTGGAATTATAAGTCCTACATGGTACATGCCTTCTCACTTGAATGCATATTAGACTTGAGCTGTCACCATTGGTACTGTTTGACAACAACCTTGAGTTGAAACAAATTATAATCTTGTATTGAAATTTTCTTGCATCTCCTCTTATTTATTAATGTATTCAAGATCCACATATTGTTCTGTTTTTCGCTCTGAGGTTATGCATAGGCATGCCAAGTATCTCTTCCTCCAAAAGTGTAGTTGTACATTTATGATTGTTTATGCCACTACTTGATTTCCAACACGTTAAATTTCTTTGCTGAACTTTAGATTTGCAATAATTAACTGCATTAGACCCGGATTTAGCATAGTTTTTCTGAAGTTACTGTATTAGAATTGAGTGTTGAGAAATAAAATATTTGTTTGACTTTTAGTTTTAATGTGTATTATTGGTGCACTTCCAGGGAAGCAAGTATAGGGAAGCTGAAGAAGTATTTGATAGCCTTTTGAACAATGAAAACCCACCTTTGAAACCTGATCAGAAAATGTTTCATATGATGATTTACATGTATAAAAAGGCTGGAAATCATGAAAAAGCTCGTAGGACATTTGCTTTGATGGCTGAGCAAGGAATTGAACGATCTACAATTACTTATAACAGCTTGATGTCATTTGAAACAAATTACAAGGAAGTTTCAAAAATATATGACCAGGTAAATTCAGTATTGATCAGCTTTACCTTTCAATTGTTAGTGATAGGTCTAGGGTTCTTTTACTTTGTTTGGGGTTATTTCAACAGAAAAACTTAAGTTAAGCGGAAGCCTATTCTGGAAGTATTAAACTCTATTTTGGTTCTTTTATAAATATACTAGCTCCTAAGTATACTACCCTATATTCTCTAAGCTCAAGTTGCATATTTGTCTTTGCCTCATGCCATAAGTAGAAGCCTCTCCACATCTGTAATGCATTAGAACATTCATTCAAGAGAAGAATGTTTCCCTCTGCTTTTGCCTTGTGATCATTCGATGTGGTACCAGAGCACTAGGACCCATTTGGTATATGATATAACCGCTGGCATTAGGAGGACTTATAGGAGGAGAATGAGAAAACCAAGGGAAGAAGTTGAACCACTGGTCAAATCAACTACCTCAGAGCTCCAAAAATTGAGGACCAATTGAGGACCAACTCTGAGTGGCAGCTAGCCACTAGCCGTATGGGTCTTAAACCCTTTAGGGTGGGTAGGTTTTCTTTTGGGGGGAAGCCTTTATTTTGTAAGGGGACGGACAGAAGGGGTTTGGGGAAGGAAAAAGAGTGTTGAGGGAGAGACCTGGCCTCTCGAATGCCAAGGGAAGCTGTTGTATTTAAGTTTGCCTTGTTAGTCCCGGTATAATCTTTTGTTGCTGGTTGTGATTTATCTTGTAATCAGGGGAATAGGGCTTTGAGCTAGAATCAGGAGAAACTTATTGTATCTTGATTCAGTGTTGGAACTTTAATATCAAAGCCTCAGGATTTCTCTCATTTATGACTGATCTGCTCCATTATTGTCATTTTGTTTTGGCTCTGTTAAATATTAAAGCCGGGTCACAACATTTGGTATCAAAGCGTTCGATTCTGGGGCCACGTTAGTTGAAACAGTAATGGGGGAGGAAATACAATACACGAATCCGGAAGTACAGGAGTTAAGGGAGACGGTTGGGGGCTTGTCCAGAGATATGAATATATTAAAGGGGGCTGTTAACCGGATACAAGAGGCGATTGAACAGTTGGTCAGACCGAGAGATGGTGCCAAATCAACTAGCCAGAGGAGAGGGGGAAACCATGAGGAAACCAATGAGCACCGTGGGGACGTTGACAGAGAGACGGGGAAATATAGAAAACTGGAACTACCTATTTTCAACGGAGAGGACCCTCTGGGATGGTTCTTCAAAGTTGAATGGTACTTCAGAGTCAATGCTATACCAGAGGCCGAAAGGTTGGAGGCGGCGGTTGTCTGCTTGGAAGGAAAAGCTTTAAATTGGTACCAATGGGTGGAGTCTCGAACCACCATTCGGGGCTGGCAAGAATTCAAGAGAGAAGCTTTACGGCGATTCCATCCCTCGCAGCTTGGGGATAGTTATGAGATGCTATATGCAGCGAAATAGAATCGTTCGGTCTTGGAATTTGTGGAGGAATTTGAGCGCCTCGCCGCTCCCTTGCCCGACATACCAGAGGAGAGTTTGATAGGAACCTTTCGAGTAGCCTTGAGACCAGAAATACGAGCAGAGCTTCGATTGACCAGTGCCAGCTCCCTACGAGAAGTCATGGAGATGGCAATCCGAGTAGAAGAACGGAACCAGGTGCTCGACGCTGCCAAGGAGACACGAGCCACCCGTTTTCAAAGATACCCTAGTGGGCCAAAGATGGATTCAGTTCAGACCCAATACACCCGGATTACCAACTTACCCGAAACGCAGAAAGCTTCGTCGTTCTCCTCTCCACGGCCAGAAACAGCATTTGCGAAAAGAGACGAAGCGAAGGGAGTAGACTCGAAAGGGAGCAGCACCTCGATAGCTTCCAGTTCTTCGGTCCGAAGGGGAGTAATGGGTCGACGCCTCTCCGACGCGGAGCTCACTCGCCGACGAGAGCTGGGGCTCTGCTTCAAATGTGTCGAGAAGTTCGGCCCCAACCACGTCTGCAAGAACAAAAACTTGCAGGTGATGATTCTGGATTTGGAGGCCGAGAAGAGTGAGGACGGGAAAGTAGAAACTGACCAGGAGGAAGAGGCCATTGAGATGGAAGAGGGAGGGAACATGACGATGGAATTATCACTCAATTCCATCTCCGGCTTTGGCAGCAATCACACAATGAAGGTCTGGGGATGGCTAGCGGAAGAAGAGGTCATTATTTTGATAGATAGTGGAGCCACCCATAACTTTGTGTTCGAAGAATTAGTGAACAAGAAGGGGATTGAAGTTGATGAAATAGCTGAGTACACGGTAGCAGTAGGGGATAGTCACCAGCTGAGGAGAAGGCAGCGCTGCCTGAAAGTCAATCTTAAGGTACAGGGTATAGAGATTAATCAAACCTTTTATCCGTTTCCGTTAAGTGGAGTGGATATGGTACTGGGAGTTGAGTGGCTGAGGTCACTGGGGGATGTGAATGTCAATTGGAGTCGCCTAACCATGAAGATCAGGAAGTCGGGAAACAGGGTGTGTCTGCAGGGGGACCCATCACTGACAAAGAGCCAAGTGACCCTCAAATCCTTAATACGATTAATGAAGAAGAAGGAGGAGGTGTATCTAATAGAGTATAATGGACTGATGAATGAAGAGACAGAAACAAGGGAGATAGCACCTGAAATACAAGCTCTAATGGAACAGTTTCCCACGGTGTGTCAAGCTACGGAGGGCTTACCTCCCCCCGTTCAAAAGACCATGCAATTGTAATCAGATCAGGACAGCAGCCCCCAAACATTCGCCCTTATCGATACCCCCATTTACAAAAAAATGAGATGGAAAAAATGGTGAAGGACATGTTGCAGGCAGGGATTATACAGCCTAGTAATAGCCCCTATTCTAGCCCCGTTTTGCTGGTTAAGAAAAAAGATGGGAGTTGGCGGTTTTGTGTTGATTATAGAGCCTTAAACAAAATCACAGTGCCTGACAAATTCCCTATTCCAGCCATTGATGAGTTGCTGGACGAACTCAGGGAACCAACATCTTTTCAAAGCTGGATCTTAAATCCGGATATCACCAGATTCGAATTAAAAGGGGTGATGAGCACAAAACAGCTTTTAGAACACATGAGGGCCATTATGAATTCAAAGTAATGCCATTTGGGCTGACCAATGCCCCTTCCACCTTCCAATCATTGATGAACGAAGTGTTCCGAGAGTACTTACGTAAGTTTGTCCTAGTGTTTTTTGATGACATTCTTATTTATAGTACAGATTTTTCTACTCATTTGAAACATTTAGAGGCTGTACTAACCTGTTTGAAAAGAAACCAGCTAGTTATCAATTTAAAAAAATGCAGTTTCATGCAGTGCAAGATTGAGTACCTTGGCCACATCATCTCCTCGGAAGGGGTGCAAGCTGATCCCTCCAAAATTGAGAGCATGGTTAACTGGCCTAAGCCCAAGAATGTGAAGTCCTTAAGAGGATTCCTAGGGCTCACTGGTTATTACCGGCGATTTGTTAAAAATTATGGTAAAATAGCTAGTCCTCTTACTGACTTGTTGAGAAAGGATGCTTTTAAATGGACTCAGGAAGCTGAGACAGCATTTGAAGAGCTCAAAACAGCCATGACAACACTTCCAGTACTAGCAATGCCCGACTTCTCAATACCCTTCGAACTGGAAACTGATGCTTCGGGGACTGGTGTGGGAGCAGTGCTGGTGCAGAGGGGAAAACCAGTAGCCTATTACAGCCAGACATTGTCAAACCGGGCTCAGCAATGCTCAGTGTAAAAAAGAGAGCTCATGGCTATAGTGATGGCGGTCAAGAAATGGCGTCACTACCTCTGGGGACATAAGTTTGTGATCAGGACGGATCAGAAAGCTCTAAAATACCTGCTGGAACAGCGAATTGTGGAAGAGAACCAGCAGAAGTGGGTCTCCAAGTTAATGGGGTTTAAGTTTGAAATAGTCTACAAACTGGGCAAAGAAAACCGGGCTGCTGATGCCTTGTCAAGGCAGGGTGAATCTGCAGAGATGTTGGGGTTTTCCATGTGGCAATATGATGAAATCGAAGACTGGGAAAAGGAGGTGCAATCTGACCCAAAATTAGCATCAATTGTACAGCGACTAATCACTAATCCAGAAGAAGTTGAAGGTTGCAGCATTGAAAAGGGCTGTTTGCATTACAAAGGGAGGCTGGTATTACCAAAATAATCCACCAAAATTCCTTTGTTACTGAAAGAGTATCATGATTCTCCAGTGGGGGGCCATTCCGGCTACCTTAGAACTTACAAGAGGTTATCCAGCGTTGTGTATTGGAAAGGTATGAAGAAAGACATTCAGCTTTATGTAGCTCAATGTGATGTGTGCCAGAAAAATAAATATCAAGCTCTTTCTCCTGCCGGTTTGTTGCAGCCTTTGCCAATCCCACAAGGAATTTGGGAAGATATTAGCATGGATTTCATTACCAGGCTCCCTAAGTCTAAGAGGTATGATGTTATCTTGGTTGTGGTGGATCGACTTTCCAAATATGCCCATTTTCTACCCTTTTCACACCCCTTTACAGCAAAAGATGTTGCTGAGAAATTTGTGAATGAAATTATAAAATTGCATGGTTTCCCTAAATCCATTATATCGGATAGAGATAGGATTTTTGTGAGTCAATTCTGGAAGGAATTGTTTAAGCAGGCTGGAACTCGGTTGTGCCTTAGTTCATCTTACCACCCCGAAACCGATGGCCAAACCGAGGTGTTGAATAGGGGGCTGGAAACTTACTTACGCTGTTTTACCAGTGAGAAACCTAACCATTGGGTCCAGTGGCTCCCCTGAGCTGAATATTGGTACAACACATCACATCATACTGCAGCAAACATGACCCCTTTTAAAGCTGTTTATGGAAGAGACCCTCCCACATTCCTGAAATTGGTTGATGAACCTTCTGCACTGGAAGCTATAAATGAGCAGATTCAGCAGAGGAACCAAGTCATTGCCGCCCTGAAAGAGAATCTCAGCAGAGCACAGAACAAAATGAAAGGACAAGCTGATAGGCATCGAAGAGAAGTGCATTTTGAAGTAGGAGAACAAGTCTATGTCAAACTTAGACCTTATCGACTTCGCACCTTGGCAAGAAGACTCAATGAGAAACTAAGTCCTCGCTTCTATGGCCCTTTTAAAGTCCTAGAAAAAGTGGGGACAGTAGCATATAAACTTGAACTGCCTCCCACAGCTCGGATTCACCCGGTTCTCCATGTTTCAAATCTGAAAAAGTCAGTCCACTCAGCTATTGTGACACCTAATTTCCCTCCAATATTGTCCGAGGATTTAGAATTGCAAGTACAACCCCAAGACATTCAAAAGGTTCGGAAACTCATCAATGGGGAATTGGAAGTTCTGGTTCACTGGAAAGGTCTGCCGGAATTTGAAAATTCATAGGAAAACGCCACCACTATCAGTAGACAGTTCCCAGACTTTCCCCTTGAGGACAAGGTGAAACTTGTAGGGGTGGGAAATGATATAATCGCTGGCATTAGGAGGACTTATAGGAGGAGAATGAGAAAACCAAGGGAAGAAGTTGAACCACTGGTCAAATCAACTACCTCAGAGCTCCAGAAATTGAGGACCAACTCTGAGTGGCAGCTAGCCACTAGCCGTATGGGTCTTAAACCCTTTAGGGTGGGTAGGTTTTCTTTTGGGGGGAAGCCTTTATTTTGTAAGGGGACGGACAGAAGGGGTTTGGGGAAGGAAAAAGAGTGTTGAGGGAGAGACCTGGCCTCTCGAATGCCAAGGGAAGCTGTTGTATTTAAGTTTGCCTTGTTAGTCCCGGTATAATCTTTTGTTGCTGGTTGTGATTTATCTTGTAATCAGGGGAATAGGGCTTTGAGCTAGAATCAGGAGAAACTTATTGTATCTTGATTCAGTGTTGGAACTTTAATATCAAAGCCTCAGGATTTCTCTCATTTATGACTGATCTGCTCCATTATTGTCATTTTGTTTTGGCTCTGTTAAATATTAAAGCCGGGTCACAACAGTATATCATATAGAATAAAGTTTGACTGTATAAGATGTTCATACTACGCCGTGTAACTTGTGTTTAGTGCAGCATTATATAAGATGATAGGGTTGCATGTCTGCTAATATATGATAAAAATCAGAATAGGGTATAATTAACTATCTTGACAACATTGCCATTTGCTTGGAAATGTTGTATATTTTAATTAGTTCTTTCTTTTAAACCCCCCCCCCCCAAAAAAAAAAAAAAGATGCTAATCCAATATATAGACATGCATATACTCCTAAAAGAATATAACTGGGATCTGTGCACTTGCATCAAACTTTTATTAAAGTTCCCATTGAACCTAAAAATTTAAATTGCTCTTTTAGAAAAGAATTATATGATAATTCAATATAATCAGACATGCCCAAAGGAGAATCATACAAGTAACCCATTATTTTTTTTTTAAAAAAAAAAAGGAATCGTAAGTAACCAAGAGGGAAATTGGTACTATGCTCAAGAAGATAATACTTTCATGCCAATCACAAGGGTAAACGACGACTTGATAGAAATATTGAGAGCGCTGGCCTTTTGAATGCTAGGGACGGGGTGAGACCTGTGTGTGAGGTTTCATTTTGTTTCCTGCTCCTCATCTTTCTGTTTCAGAGTGGTAGGCAGCTAAGCTGTGAGGCCTTGGTTAAACTTTGTCAATCTCCCACTGAAGTTGTTGGTTTAATCAGAATTTTGTCCTTTAAGCTTGCTATTTCACAGCTGAAAATAATTTAACAGTAAAGTTTCCATCAGCTTCTTGATAACCTGCAACTCTTTTTAAGTGAAGGCTTCATTGTTAGCTATTTTGGCATCGCTTTGGAATCATGGATACCCACAGGAGGCTTGTCTGATTCCTACATGTTGATGACTGCCCACTTTATGTCATTTAAAAACAAACCTTTGAGGTGTTTCTGAAGGACTGGATTTCAATTACGATGTTTTTCCTTGTGTTCTGCCTTTAATATCTTGTTTATAATTAATTCATCAGATTTTGAAGTGAATGCCTAATTTTAGATGCAAAGAGCTGGTCTCCAGCCTGATGTTGTGAGCTATGCCTTACTTATCAATGCCTACGGGAAGGCTAGAAGGGAGGACGAAGCACTAGCTGTCTTTGAGGAAATGCTTGATGCTGGCGTCAGGTATGCAAGCCAAACTATTTTATTGCAAGACCTCAATGTTCCGGAAGCTGCACATTAAGCATATACTAGCATATACATTCAACGTCTCAAATCTCAAGTGTAAACCATACGGAATCTTACTAAAAGTTACTCAGTTGAATTTTAATTTTTAGGTTTTTATATAAAATTTAATCTCATAGTGATGATATAAAATCAATTGTCCCTTAAATTTAAAGCTAACCTTCTAAGCAGCTTATTGGTGCACATGTTATGTTCTATCATTTGTTAGTTCTTTCTATTTGATTTGAACATTTAAATTACATAATTAGAATATTTGTAATCTTCTCTCTTGGAGGGGATAAGTCAAAGAGTCAATGATAAAGATAGTCTTGTTGACTGTTCTAATAATAGTATCGTCCTTGTAATAAGGATTTGAGTCTCGTGTTATTATTCTAATAATCATGTAACCAAGTTCTTAATCTTTGTTAGGCATTTTACAAAGCAATTACCTATGAATGCAGCACAGTTTGCATGGTGCCATTATGAGTGACGTATTCAAAACATTTTTAAGCCAATATGAATAAAGTATTCAAATTGATCTACCCTTATCACCAAGAATCAATCAATGCAAAATATCAAGTCAGTAATTTGCAATGTTCATGAGCTATAAGTAATGTAGCTCATCTCAAATTCTGTGCAATGGATGGGTTAACGTCTTGTTTTCTCATTTCTACCATATCACACCAACTACGATGATATCTTGCATGCCTATTCAGTTAATATACCTTTAGTGACAAACTTTTTCTTTTATGTGCAGAGATTGTGACCAACTTTTCAAATGATTTCTGCATATATGTTATGACGACAAAATTCTCCTGTTATTTTCTGGTTTAGTTGCTAAACTCTCTAGCTCTCAGTAAAACAATTTTAACGTTAAATATCCTATCCTTTTTCACAGACCCACCCAAAAGGCTTATAATATTTTGCTTGATGCATTTTCAATATCGGGAATGGTAGAGCAAGCTCGGACTGTGTTCAAGAGCATGAGAAGGGATAGGTAAATTGTGTCTCTAATGTTGAAATCTTTAAGGGAAAATTGCAAAAAAAGACCTTGGAATTGCAAAAACGCAGATAGGGACCCTTGACAACTTCACTTTGGGTTTTGACAACTTCAGGGCATATTATTCTTGTCAAAACCCAAAGTGAAGTTGTCAAGGGTCCCTATCTGCGTTTTTACAATTCCAAGGTCTTTTTTTGCAATTTCCCCAATCTTTAATGCCCTTTTTATATTATAAATTCGTGTTTCTATATTTTAAACAAGTGAGATAGAAAGATAGTTTTGTTTAATTAAAAGCATAAATCCTCTAAAGTTATCTTTCCTAGAAATTTTTTGTCAGTAGAGAAGGAAAGCTAATGTGAGTTTCATACTCAAAGGCGTCCATTGTATTCGAGAAATTTTTCCTTGGGAGATGTCTGGTCAAAATTAATTTCTGCTTTGATCATAATGACAGGCTGATATTCATTGACAAATAACATCCTCTTATAAGCTGTCACCTGGTGCCAGCATATTTTTCTGGTGCAAATGGCTTGTTTTTCCAGAGCCATATGCTCTGGTTTCTGGTGCAAGTAGCATGGTGTTTTTCCAATTGTTACACTGAACAAGAAAAATGCATAGCCATTAGATTCCATTCTTGTTTTTGTTGAGAATGACATAGATCATGCTTCTCTTATGCCATCATTGTATGTTTTTTTCTCCTTTCCAATGCAGATATTCACCTGATCTTTGCTCATACACTACTATGTTGTCGGCTTATGTGAATGCATCGGATATGGAGGGAGCTGAGAAGTTTTTCAGGAGATTAAAACATGATGGTTTTAAGCCTAATGTTGTCACTTATGGAACCCTAATTAAAGGGTATGCTAAGATGAATGATCTTGGCAAGGTAGTGGAGAAATACGAGGAAATGCTTGGATGCGGTATCAAGGCCAATGAAACTATCTTAACTACAATCATGGATGCGTATGGAAGAAATGGGGACTTCGGTAGTGCTGTTCTCTGGTTTAAGGAAATGGAATCTAATGGAATTCATCCTGATCAAAAAGCAAACAATATTCTACTATCTCTGGCAAAAACAGAAGAAGAAAGACATGAAGCTGGTGAGCTTGTAGGACATTCCAAAGAAGGTAGCAGTTTAAACACAGTTAATGGCTTCGTTCCAGTTGTTGATAGTGATGATGAAGATGATGGTGATGATAATGAAGACGACGAGGAACAGGAAGAAGGTAATTATGAATATTTTGATACCCAGCTAGCCATGGCTTATGAGAAACAATCCAGATGATTGTTGATGATCAGCACATCTTAATTTTTCCCCTTTGTATTTGTGAACTGATCTCGTGTTAAAATCATATATAGAAGCAATTGGAAGCCATTAGTTTAGATAAAATGGATAAGCAATTGTCATTGAAGGCATAATTGGGACCCTATCTAATTAACTATCAATGATCAACTATCGATCAACTATCAACTATCAATCATATTCTTGAAAACTTGTAATACCTGATTCATTTCAAAACGGGTCGGATATAACATTATGAGATTTGAGTAGATTCAATTAATTATATTTGAATAATATTTTGATTGGGATTTGGATATATTAAATTAAATAGGGAGCATAATTATTAAATGAGACTTCAATTGGAAACTCAAATGAAGAAATTGATAATTAATTTTGAATTTGAATAATATCTTAATTGGAATTTGAATATATTGAATTAAAATAAAAGTACCATTATCAAATAGTATGTCAATTGGTGGTTTAAATAGAGAAATAATTAATTAATTTTGAATTTTCACATGTTTATTTTAAATTCCACTACTCTAATTCAAATCCCATTTGAATGAATAAAAAAAAATCATATTCCTATAAGAAATGATTTTGAGCTATCTTAGATGATGTCATTTATTAGAATTTGAAATCTAATTGAATATTTTAGTTTGTGTATCGCACGAGAGAGAAACTTTTAGTTTGGTATCTATTTGATAGGAATTTATGAGTAGGTATTCATGCATTACAAAGGATTTTTTTTTGGGGGGGGCATCTGACCTCATATTTTGAACTTCCAAGGAAAAATTAATGCTTTATTCCTGATAGGTACGCTTATTTTCAACTCACTTTTTACACTTTGGTTTCCTATTGCTAACATGAGGCAAATACTTAGGGGGAAGTTTGGATTCTTTCGGATGAATTTAGGGGGAGTTTGGAAGTACTTAGAAAAGTATATTTATGTAAGTTCAAGTTGAAATAAAATTTTTCTCACTACTTATTTCAAACTCTATAAAATAACTTCTAAATAGCTAATCCAAACACTTTAATATGTTTAGTATGAGAGAAATGGAGGAGGGGGGTAAACTTTTAATGGACTAGCTTTAAAAAATTGAGAAAATAGAGTTAATTTTTAATTAATTTTTCTAAATCTTTCATTTTACACATTTTCTTTAATAAAATTTTATAATCATTTTTTATTTTTTAAATTGAGCATACTCCTCTAGTCCTTAATATAAGACCTATTTAACTAATTTGATTAGACTAAAAAGGTTAGGTAAGTTAGTTGATTATAAGAAATATGATATTTTTTTAAAATATCATAATCATCTTTCCTAATATCCTTTCTCCCTTTTCTATTTGATTATAATTGAGAGAGTATCCATAGGAATAATTTAGAAAGACTTGATAAATATGAAAAATAGGCCTTATATTTAAAACTAAAATTAACTCAACAATTAGGTCAATCGGAGGAGTATTAAAATTTTCTCTCTCATCTTTTTTTCCCTCTATTTTTCTTATACTAGACATAAAATTAATGCCAGTTTTAAAAGTTGAACCAATTATTAAATGGAATGAGATATTAATTTAAGGGCTAATAACCGGATTGGGTTGGATTACAGCTCACTCAATCACCCCCGCTCTCCCAGTGAAGCCCGCCATCAGCCATGAAATGAGGTGGTGGGAGTCCTCTCCGAGTACAAGGAAATGTCGCCAATCAAATGAGGCTGAGCTGTACATCAACTAATTACAAATCTGGGCCCAAAACATTTTTAAAATTGTTCCCCCCCCCCTCTTTTTTGGTCTCTTTTTGGGGTCCAAATCAGAATCAGTCCAATAGGTATTTGACTGATTCTGACTTAGTTTGGGGGTATATATCAATTAGACCAGCGACCTGTTCCCGGTCCAACCAGTTGATTTTATTTTTAAAATACTATCTCTATCTCTTACTATAAGAACTAATTTGATTTTTATTTTGATTCTAAATATAATACTTCAATCTACTTTGTCTCTCATATTTATTTATTTTTTTAAAGTAGTCTTTGTAGTAATTGCACATGTTAAATATTTCATCGAATGTTAAAGCTAATACACATGATTAGGCAGGGTAAGAAAACGCAATACTTATTTATTACAAATAACTAACTTAACAAATTTTTTTAATCTACTTAAATTAGTCAGCTAGCTCTTATATTAAGTATTGAAGTAGTATTGCATAAGGTTTTTTTCTTAGTTGTAATCCATGATCGTTTCAAAATTTTTGGCTTCATGATTTAAGGTATTTGTGTTTTGATTTTCCTTTTCAACCTGAAATGTGCTCATCCATTTGTTATATTCTAGTAAGACCATCTTAAGTGCTACTCTCTTTTGTGCTTAAAATTAACATTGGAGCGATACCAGGCAAAAAGTTTATTCTGAATTACAAGCAGTGTATTAAAAGCCGGACCGGTCTGGCCGTCGACCGTTCATTTGAGCGGCTTGGTCTTTATATTTGGACCGTTTGAGAGTTTGAGCCGTTTTGAGCCGTCTTAAACCTGCATTTGAGCCGGAACCCGGAATGGAGCCAGAAACCGGAGCGGTTTCTGAAGAACCGAACGGTTTTTAAGGTTGCCGTTCCATTCTATCTTTTTCTGCGTTTTCCCTCACCAGTCGAAACAATAATGGCGAAGAAAAAAGAAAGGACACAGATAATAAAGAAGATGGAAAAAACGAACTATTAAAACCCACCTATCGATTAGTTTTCCCCCCCTTCTTTCATGGTATTTTGAAGGTTGCGATGAGAGAGATAGAAGTTGCAAACTTCAAACTTGACTTGAGAGTCGTCTGCGATGGAGGGAAGAAAGACAAAAGATGCAAGGAGACATGACTGAAGCCATTGACTACGCGTGAACAAATGACTCTTTTATCTAACACTTAAATGTGAAGGCTAGGTCTTTTCAACTTTTTTAAATTTTTATTTTTTTATCAGCATATATTTTATTGATATAATGTAAAGCATTTCACCGTTGTTTTTTTTTCTCGGCCAAAATTTGTGGTTTTTCACCTTTTTGTTGGCCGTGTACGCATATTTATTCATTATTTTATTATTATTATTTAAAATTTTAGATTATATAGATATTTACACTTCTAAAATAAATATATCATATTTTTTCTAGTATTAATGCACGATTGAACTTGGAGGATGAGATTAAAGAGCTAAATGAGAGAGAAGGCTTTGCTTCTTCTTTTTTTTCACCACTCATTTTTAATTTATTTAACATTTTAATCTTATATATTATATATAATATTATTTTTATTTAATTATTATGTCACCGGTTCGACCACCGGTTTAACCGATCTGACCGTATGAATCGTGACACGTTAGCTTTTCCGGTTCTATGTCCGGTCCGGCTTTTAAAACATTGATTACAAGTGATAATTTGAATTAATAGCAGAGAATTGATTTTATATTATACAAAATACATATGATCCAGATTTTGATGATGAGTACTGAAATTACCTGGCTAAGTAATACTTTGGGGATCTAGCGGGACCTTATGCTGCCAGACTGTTTGTTGATAGCTAAGTAACACTATTTTAACCTTAGTTAATACGATTTTAACTTTAGTAATGACAAGTTTTTATCTATTCATTAGTTGCCTTTTTTTCATTTATGGTGACGAAAGTTTAGGCCAGGAAATTAACTCTAAATTACTGCCTCCGGTTTCTTAATATAAGGCTTTGTTTGACTTTTATTTTGATTCTAAATATAAGATCTCAATCTACTTTATCTCTCATATTTATACATTTTCTTCTAAAGTAATCATTCTAACAATGATAACTCGAGCCAATACACTTGATTAACAAGAATATTTTAAAAAAGACAATACCTATTTATTACAAATAATTAACTTAACTTATTTCTTTAATCTTATTAAATTAGTCAACTAGCTCTTATAATTATGATCGAAAGTAATATATGATTTACCTAGTTGCAAATACGTCATTCCAAGCGCTGAGACATTCTAAGAAATTGAACTCTCTCGTTTGGGTCAAGTTGTAAATACGTCATTCCAAGAGCTGAGGCATTCTAAGAAATTGAACTGTCTTTTTTGGGTGAGCGTGCCCGATGATTTGATTGCGGAACTCATAATGCTATGGATTATTTGTTGCGTCTTCAGACCAACTTCTTCATGTAATTATGAGTTAAAAGGAACTCATAAGGTTAATTAATTCTCAACCTATTTGGGATCAGTTAACTACTTAAGTATTCTGATAATATGCGGACATTTATTCTTAAATGTGTATTTATTAGTATATTTCCTTACACATCGTGGATCGATACCATCGCATATTCCGCCACCAAATTATATTTTATTGTTTCTTTGGTCAACCGCCCGCTTCCATCATATATGGCCTGTTTCTTTCTCCTTCATAACCAAGAAAGGAATAGAAAAAACTTGAAGGACAGCTGCTACAATGAGCCTGTTTCATCTCCCTGCGTGGATTTGAAAATGGCTCCTAGCCACCAGGTTTGCTTCCCAAAAATTTATCTACACTTCCCCCTATCCATTTTTCACCCATTAGTTTCTCATAAAGTGATATTTTCTGTAGCTTTAAGTGGGGGGAAGATTGGGTTGGCAATTTGATTTTGGATTGTTTTCCTGAAGGGAAGAAAAGGAGTTGTTCGGTGCATTGTTTGAGAGGTAATTCCATCTTTCTGACATTCGAAATTTCGGTTTCCGTATTCGGGTCTGAATATTTGAACTGTTCTATTGGGACCAGTTGCGAAGCAAACTGGTAGTGCGTTGTCGTTAAATTTTCTGGTTCTAATGGAGCAAAGCATGCATATTCTTGTGATCATGTACTTGTTGGCTGATTTTGTTAGGTTTTAAAATGGCTGCAATATTTAAACAGCAACATGAATACCAAATTTTCATAGAAGCAGTGAAACAGGGCAGCTGGGAATCCAAATGGAGGGGTCAAGATGAAATTTGCCATGTTATTAGACCTCATATAGAGGTTCTTACTCACAAAAGTTGGCCAATTGACCATCCAAAGTTTAGCTTAGAATCTGAACATCAGAAAAGTTGTTGCCGCTGTCATTTTCACTTCAAGCTGATGGACTTGTGCTCAAACTCTTCACTTCTGCTAGTGTGATTTAGCCCTAAAATTTTTATGGCATAAAGATGTATGGAGCCTTAAAATAAGCCAAAATTGGGTCCCATTTTAATCTTTATAGCTAATGTTATGAATTTCGGAAGTTGAATTTATCAGAACTTTTACAACAGACATAGCTTAATAGCCAACTTTGATGATTTTTTTTTTGGGTACCAATGTAAAATTTGGCGAATTTTATAGTTCATTAGGTTAGGTAATACTCAGGATTTTCAGAGTATGCTCAAAATTGGCGATATGATCGATGCTGTTGGTGATGGGATTTGGTCCTGTTAGTGCCTTCATGTATGAGAATGCTGTTCAGAAATTAGGACGTCTATGAAGTTTTGGTTCTGAAATGACATTGAACTGATTTTATGAAAATTTGTTCATAGTATACCTTCATGCAGGAGTTCAGCTTATTCCTATTGCACTTGAGATGTTTCTCTTTGGATGTTTTTGCACTATGGCTGCCTTTTTCCCCTTTGGAGGAGGTGGTTTATATGACATCTCATATTTGGATTTTTTTTTGGGGGGGGGGGGGTTAGTGTTCACAGTTTCTCACATGCTTTGAATAAATTATGGTTGTTTGTAATTCTTACAAGTGCTATACGGTTATTGTCAAAGATAAAGCACTGGGAGATAGAAGGTTCTCTTTTTTCAGTCAATCTAAGCCTAACAACAAAGAGGGTCTAATTTGAAAATGATTTAGCAAACTAAATTTTTTCGTCAGCGGTTACCTATAAGACGCTTTATTACATGTTAATCAAAGAGATAGAAGCCACACCAGCATGTTCATTTCCAAAATGAAGGTGAGATGATATTTCTTTTATTATTTTCATGTCTTGTCGTTTAAATAATTTTATGGCTATGTTAGATAAAAGAATTTTCTTAATCGATTTAGCAATAATAAATAGAATTAATTGGTCTGCAGGATTACAGTAGAATTATTTTTTTTTACCTTGCTTACCTTTTCTGGGTTGGACGTTAAAGTAAATATATTCAATAATGCAGTGCTTTAGTTAATTGCAGAAGAGAAATAACAATGATGCCCTAGCCTCTGGTGTGGTGCAACTTATCCCTCGTCACTCATCATCCTCTTTTAAGTCTGAAGTCACCTTTCCTCATAGGTGGAACCTTCCAATTATGATATAGCAAAGTTAAGGGGAAATTGTTATAGCAAGATAAAAAGAATGAAAATGGGAATTGTGGAGGAAGCACACAACGTGAAGATTGTGGGATCAGGCATGCGTTTCATAGTTTTGGCTCATGGTTTTGGCACTGACCAATCAGTGTGGAAACACCTTGTACCTCACCTTCTTGAGGATTTTCGAGTTGTTCTCTATGATAACATGGGAGCCGGCACCACTAACCCGGACTACTTCGATTTCGAACGTTACTCAACTCTAGAAGGCTATGCACATGATTTACTTGCCATTTTGAAGGAGCTACAAATCAATTCCTGCATCTTTGTTGGTCACTCTGTTTCTGCCATGATTGGTGTTATTGCTTCTGTTTATCGCCCTGATGTCTTCTCTAAGATCGTCATGCTCTCTGCATCCCCTAGGTACTCGATCTAACCATACTATCTTATCTTGCTTATTGATGCTATAAAGGGTGTTTGTTTCAGCTTTTCATAAGCTCTTTTATATAAACTGAGACAAAACTTATCTTACATACTTCTCTGATCTTATTTATAAGCCACTTCCTACATGTTTCACACAGATCAAAGAAAATCTTAAACTTTATTAACTCTCATTTAAAATCTAACAAGTTTTCAACTTTATTTCTATTCAATGTACATTGTACCTCATGTAAACAAAGTCAATACAATAATAAATAAAGGGTAAAATTGCACACCTATACAAAAAATTTCTCTTGATGCCCTATAAATAGGAACAAAAAAATTGTCTTCTCTCTCTTCGATAAATAAAACCAAAAGAGCACTTTGTCTGTAAACAGTAAAATCACTTCCATAAAACTAAGCCAAACACCCTCTAACTCAACATTTGAGTGAAGTCACTAATTAAGAGTTGTGAATTTTCTGTCTAAGCAAGGTATTTGAATGATGCGGATTACTATGGAGGATTTGAGCAGGAGGATTTGGACCAATTATTCAATGCAATGAAGTCCAATTACAAAGCATGGTGCTTGGGGTGGGCCCCCCTATGTGTGGGTGGAGACATGGAATCTGTGGCAGTGCAAGAGTTTAGCCGAACCTTGTTCAATATGAGGCCAGACATAGCACTAAGCGTGTTGCATACAATTTATCAATGTGACATGAGGCAAATTCTGAGGTTTGTCACAGTACCTTGCCATATTGTACAGAGTATGAAGGATATGGCAGTTCCGGTGGTGGTTTCAGAGTATCTTCATCAACACCTCGGCGGTCAGTCCATTGTGGAGGTTATGTCATCAGACGGCCATTTGCCGCAGCTGAGCTCACCTGACATTGTTGTTCCGGTGCTTCTCAAACACATTCAGCATGATATTGCAGCTGGATTGTAACTGATGATTTTGGTGTAGTAAGATCATCATATTGCAGCTTCAGGAAAATCTCTCTCTTATTGATAGGAATCAGGGAGCATATGCCTTGATTTTTTCAATAGTAGCGTCTTTTAATGAATTAATCATTATGCCATGAGGTGTTTAATGGTTGAGGACTTTCTTTGTTTTGTCAAGCAATGGAATATTTTTATTTTTTAAAATTGTTATTGGGCCTTTAATCTCTGTGTTGTGCCACTGGGAAATTTTCTTGATCAGTTTTTAGCTTTGCTTATTCCTTCTTAATGCCCTCTGCCATTCTTGCATCTGTTTCCTGTCATGTCAATAATGTACTACTTTCTTTACTAGATAACTAATTTAGGAGCATTATAAAAATTAGTTAAATTAGTTATTTATGATAAATATGTATTGACTTTTCTAAATTAACCTATTTAATCATGTGCATTAAAAATAAGGATGTTGAAATGGATGTGTGGTCATACAAGAAAGATAAAATTCAAAATGAAAATATCAGAACAAGGGTCAGTGTGGCACCTATCCAAGAGAAAATAGTTGAACATCGCTTAAGATGGTTTGGACATGTGCAGAAAAGGCTATTGGAAGTCCTGATGAGAAGAGTAGATGAGACAGTATGGAGTCCTATAAAAAGGGGCAGAGAAAGACCGAAAAGAACACTCAATGAGGTTATTGAACAAGACCTCCTAATCAATAGCATATCTAAGGATTGAGTTGTTGACAGAGTACAATGGTATCATGATTCATGTAGCCGACCCCATTTAATGGGATAAGGCTTGTTGTTTGTTTGTTTGAATCATGTGCATTAAAACTACATCTTGGTGAGAATCCTTTACAATCAATATGGATATTTTTTGGGGGAGATTATAAATTTGGAAGACAAAGTAAATTAAGATTTTATATTTAGATTAAATCCAACTCTTAACTAGTTTTTATATTAAGAATAAGAGGTAACAATAAAAGATGATATCATATTTTCTACTAGATTTTATGAATTTATACGTGACCAAAAATGTCATATTTAGAAATGATAATCAAGTCTGAAATAATAAGGACTGAGGAAAAATTGGAAAGATCTAGAGGAAGAACGGTAATAGCTGTTTGCTGTAGATAAATTTAGAGAATAATCAAACTCGTGACATTATGCTTTGTGGTATTGAAGAACCATGTATGGTTCCTAGGGTGTTCGTGTTTGATGCAATCTTCCTAATGAAAAAAAAAAGATATGTACCCTTGTAGTGGAATTTTTTAAGCCACTCTCTTGCTTGATTGAAATATCAAAATGCCACAGGAAAGGAGATTTTGTTTTGCCAACCATCAGCCGAATTGAATCCAGGAAATAGTGAGGCTCACATTGTAATAGGCTTGGCACTCATATTCCACTGCCAACACTATGGGCTTTGGGTGCATGTGGAAAACAAAGAATTAAAGATGATGCGCATTCTCTTTTCCGCACAAATAATTTTGCATACTAAAGAACGCTGACTGCAATTAAGGAGATACTAGAGTTGAGAAAACAAGTGGGCTCTTGATGGGCTTAGGTCTAAATCAAGCAGGCCCAACAGTCCACCTTTCATGAGGCTGCCCTATTTGTGAAACCTGCCCATAAACCTGCTCGTTTAGGGTTGTCCTGTAGGCTTTGAGGCCGTTTAATCAAAGTTCATTATTTTTTGGTCCTTTTTGAAGAAATAAAAATAATATAATAAAATTCTTAATTTTAAGAAAACGAAATATTATCAAATTTAAGTCACAAATTAGCAATATCAACATCAAGACACAATGCTAAGAAAATTAGCTACCATTCTTTTAAAATAATTCTAAATCGAATGTTTATTATTCTTTCATCATTGCAAGGCATATATTTCTTTCCAATTATCAAGCTTTAAACATTAAAAAACTAAAATTTTTAATTCAAATAATAAATAATGGCAAGCTCAAGTGTCAAATTAATGTTTAAATGTCTAAAACTAAACCAAATCAAATTGTTGGTTCAAATTGAAATCCTTCAAAAATATAGTTATTTTGCATAAATTAGTCTTTAAAAACATAAATTTTATTTATTTTGCCAAAAACTCCTTCAAGTGGGGAAAAAAAGTTTATTTTTTTGCCAACATTTATTCAGCGATTAATGTACCTTCCAACCACGGAGAAGCAAACGTGGGAACTCTAGTCTAGGGTGCGCCCGCGTGGGGCAGTGGTTAGGACTCAGCAGTCGTCATAAAAAAGGAAGTGGGCCAACAAACGCAGGATTGATTTCAAGGATGAAGATCAACGTGGATAGAGCTTGGAGCGGGTACTCGGATCAGATAGCATATGGCGGAATCCTTTGTAACCATGTGGGACCAACAGAGAGCGGTTTCATGATAAATTTGGGTGTTGGGGGCAATAATACTACCGTGAGATCTTAATATAAGATTTAGTTAATTAATTTAGAAAGATTAAAAAATTTAATTAAATTAGTTATTTATTATAAATAGGTATTGTCTTTTTTAAAATATTCTCACTAATCATGTATATTAGCTACAATTATTATTTAATAAAACATTTAAAATATGAAACTACTACAATGGCTACTTAAAAAATAAATAAATATTAAAAAAATTAGAATCTTATATTTATAATCAAATTAAAAATTAAATAAACTTTTATAATAAGAAAAGGAGATAGTATCCTTTAGGCGCTAAAAGCTGGCCTGGGACAAAAGGTTACGAAAGGTTGAAGTGGAGAAGCTATGGCCGTTAAATGGATACACATGGATTTTCTAGTGAGTAATGAGAATGCCCCGCAGAGGAAATATGGGGCATGACAAACAGAGATTGGTGGGTCTCAATTCTGCTCCGTTCTAGGGATACAAACGAGGCAGATGACATTTTGGTGAAGAAAGCGTTGAGTTGCCATGCGAGACTGTCTTGCTTTTCATCCCGACCGGTGTTCATTTGTGAACCCCTTAAGCGTCATACTGATCTCCTTTTGGCTAATGGTTCGAGCCTGTTGTGTCGGTATAAGACGCAAGTTAGCTTTTCTTTATTTCCAAAAAAAAAAAAAAAGAGCTCGTCTATTAATTTTTTTCCTCCAAGGGAATTTTTTTTACTATTTACAGATAAAGTACAAATTAAAAAAAATGATAAAGATCTTTTAAGTTTATACGAAGTTCATTTTTAGTTTTTTTATGTTTAGAAAGGGTATTTGTAGTCCTATAAACTTAGTGGAACTAACGAAAAATGTTGAGTTTGCAAATTTAAAATGCTGACTCAACAATTTAATGCTGACATATTAATATGAAATTTAAAATGTCTAAATTGGAAAAACAATTAAAAACCTAATGAATTTTCAAGGTTATGTCAATATTCAAAACCTCCATCATTCTAAATTTACAAAGAATAAAAGAGAAATATCTCAGCAGCCCCTGTCTCCATTGTTCTGTGACTTAAATGACTCCAATTGCTCTAAAACTTTGATAACTCTCCTCTACAAATAGAAGTCTGGTACGTCACTTTTCTTTTATTTCATACGACAAGTATGGTCTGTTCTTTGATTTCATCCATGTCAATGGGATTTGCTCTTGTTCTGGCGACAATGGGGGATCCCTTCTTGTTTGCCTTTGGCCTCTTTTCAATTTACGTTTTGGTATCTTTTCTCCTAAATTTTTTTATTAATTACCCACTAAGTACAAAGATTATCAACTGAAGGTGATATTAGAACATACTAATAGAAGTCTTCTCCACTAAAGAAAAGTTCTATTTGGTATGTCCAAATTTCCTATATGACATATAGCAATACTGCCCATCTATGCGTGTATAATATGTGTATATAGTCTGTCGATAAGGTGTTTGCAAAAATATAGTGTGGTGGCGGCTACTGATTTAGGAATTATGTGGTGGCTTTAGATTGTTCTGTTCTTATTTATTTGTTTAAAGAAGTTAGTTATGCTTAGGCGCATATGTAATTAGTGCCTATATATTCAAATATCAATTTAGGATGGTTAAATGTTTGTTACAGTGTTTGATAAAATGTATATTACTGTTGCACAATCTAACTTCAAGAAGACCTTGTAAGAATCCTTCAAATGCACCGTGCCCACAACTTCTATTTACAAAGAATGAGTAGGAAAAATAATGTAAACATATATACACCAAGAATTTGGAAGTATCTGACTCAATATTGCCACTGACAAGTTCAATAAACCCTTGTACTATTTTAGCAATATTTTGAGTCTCAAAATCTATCATCACACCCTCTTATACTACCAACAAGTTCAATAAACCCTTATATTACTTTTAAAGTTAAAAGTTGATAGGTTCCCAACAACATAGTATAATTATTAACTTCACTTGTTTTATGAAAATTAAAAAATATTTCTTATCTATTTCGTTTTTTACTTTCAAAAATACATGTTCAACTCTTGGAAAGTTTTTCCCACAATATGCCTTCATTGTATCAGTGATAGTAGCCAAATGAGCAGCAAGTAAAATATGAAGGGACAAAACCATAAAGCAACAAAATATCGTGTCAGACAAGAATCTCCTACTCATCAATGAGCGAGAATTTGTCAGCATTTTCAGAAACCAAAGACTAACAATACATTAATGTACTATGAAACTTAGTTCACCAAACTAAAATCATCCATCAATTCATCTTGAGTGGACTACGGCAAAAAAGATTAACCAATCCAATACCTGAGAAATTCCCAAAAGAAAAACCTGCGAGAGAAGTTATTTACCTTAAGAATCCAGTTTTGGTTGCTTTGACAAGACAAATGTTTTGAATAGGAGAAGTTGAAGCCCAAACACTGGAATTATAGTGGTGGATTTCGTAGCCATCATTGACATTAATAGCATCATAGAAGGGGCACTTGATGAGCTAGCTTACGTGTTGGCGGAATTTTCGTAGAGCTTGAAACTAATTCTAGGATATCTTGCGACACTGTATGCTGCTTTTACCTTAAGCTTAGAAACATCAAATAGATGAATCGGGGTGTTTGGATAGAAACAAAATCATGGTTTCAGAAGTACTTTTACAGGTTACGAAGTAAATATGTGGAGGAGATTACTTCGT